GCAGTCACCGCTGGCACAGTAATATGCAATTTCACTATACACGATTTTCGTCTTTACGCGCTGCCTTTAGAACATAACCCCCGTGTAAGATGCAGGATGCCTGTATAAAGATTGAGAATCACTGAGCTGAGAGCTAAATCCTCTCTCAGTTCAGGGGATTAAGTGACTGGTGTAGAGCTGCATGACCATGGTTTGGGATTCAGCATTCCCCTTCTCTCACTACTGAGCATAGTGTGCTCTGACCAGGTGACTATGTGGAGGGAAATGGGTACCAGAGTGTAACATCACAGATTTTTTTTTACCATGATGGGAAAGAAATTCTTAAACAGGGTAGAAATGTAAAATCCAGCAGTTACCTGGGTGTGCATGCATCGCTTAGGCACCTAAAGTAGAAAATGACTTAGTCCTGAGGTTTCAGTCCTGAGAACCCTTCCACTTGTGCATAATCTAGCATCATGTAACTGTGCCCAGGGAAGCAAGAGGCTTGGGTATCATCTCTAAAGTTATCTTTGCAACTGAGTGTTTGCAGGATTAAGGTCTCAGGCAGATGAATGTGCTTAGTGAACTATTGCATTGCATTAACTATCCTGCCTTCCTATAGGGTGTATTGAAGAACGTCCACCAAACACTGAGTTTGGGCAGAATTATAAAGTCTTATGGGCCTAACTCTAGGCTGACTTATACCCTGTGCACAAGATGTTTTAAGTTGTACAATGTCCAGTTCGAGGGAGCACCAGTCCTAACTGTACTTTGGGTGCTACGGATAAGCCTATACTCACAGCAGTTCCCCACTTAAAGCATCAGCAGTTTGCTTATGGTGGCAGGCTGGAAGGACTTTCTCCTCTTGTCTCTGTGCATAATACCTAACACACAGGGGCCACGATTTTGGCGGTTGCTTGGCTAGAGTTTCAAGACACTGCTGTAAAGAATTAATTTTAAAAGTTTTTGTTTAAATATGAGAGGGTTTGTGCTGGATTTGAGAAGTCTGAGGATGCACTGAGGCTGATCCTCTGAGACTGTGGACCCTAACTTCCCATTGATTTCATCTGGACTCATGCCTGCTTCAAACATAGGAGAATCATTTTCAAATGGTCTGATTTATCATTTCAGTCATTGACACCCTGGGGTGTTGTGAGATCCTTTCACCGCTGCTGTGTAATATTAACACTGTGAAGTGTGCATGAGTTGCAAGGTAAACCCAAAGATCCCATCATAGGGTCAAAAACATCCTGACCTGCTGTGGTCTTTCTGAGTCCCTTGCAACACAAGAATTGCTTTATTATTTTTTTTACATGTAAAGCTGCTTATGTTATGCATGTCCTATGATGGTTTGGTCTGTTAAGATAGCTTTGTTTATTCCTTCTCTGCATTCCCTTAGTGTGTACGGACCGTTGAGTAAAGATCACTGAGGGGTCAGCACTCACGGTGAGCTGGGCAGAGCTCTGTAGTGGGGCAGCCAGAGCTGACCCAAGGGGGTGTGGGGCATGGGGCAAATCAGCCTGTGTGGGGCCCCCTTAACACTGTGCGGGGCCATGGTACCCTTGCAAAGGGGGAGGGCCTCTGTGCTTCTTACGCAGAGTGGGACTGAGCCGCGAACTCCAGGCGGGCCCCGTGGGCACTCTGTGGAAAAATTCTCCTATAGGTCTCCCTGGGCTGATACTGTCCAGGACCCCTTTTTCATTCAACTGCTTGCATGGGATGGCTCGTTGGTCTAGGGGTATGATTCTCGCTTTGGGTGTGAGAGGTCTCGGGTTCAAATCCCGGACGAGCCCAGATTTTACGAACATGAGCCGGCAGTGTAATGAGGCCATCAACAAAGCTAATCATACCTTGTCGTGCATTAGCAGGTGCATGACTAATAGAACAAAGTAGGTGATGCTCCCCCCCAGAGTGGGACTGAGCTGCAGGCCCCATGGGAGGGTCTGTGGCTGCTCTGCCAGACTCCGCGGGGCCCCCAAAAGCGTGGGACCTGGGGCAGTCACCCCCATTCTCAATGTGTTAGGTACGGCCCTGGGGGCAGCTCTCAATTTTAGCACAAAAAGCGGCATTTGGGAGGAGCAAGAAAGGCTCCAGACAGGACTAACTCCATGGATGGACCGAGTGTGCGGCAGCAATCTAAAACCAAGAGTAACGTTAAAAAAACAAACAAAAAAACCTCCTTGGATGATTTTGTGGACTATCAGTTTTTTAAAGCAAAGTGTTCATAAGCACAAGTCACCATAGTAGGTTCAGGTATAAATCTGATACCTACTATGTCCAAAGGGCTGAAATCCCTGACCCTGTGTTGAAACAGGTGAAGGTCCAAAAGAGCAGATGTTGCTCAGGCAGCCTGAAGAGGAGAAGTGGGAGGAATAGACGTGACCTCCTGTGGCAGTGGCAGACCCTGCGTGGTGGAGCAGTGGTGGGCACCAACAGAGTGGTGGCAACACCAGCGTGGGCTTCCCTACCGGCACCTGCTGCCTGTGCCCGAGGTAGGTGCTACAGCCCCCGGACAGCAGCTCTGCGCGAGTCTCTGTTCCCAATGAACTGGGCTAGGTGCTAGCTCCCCTGGGTTGGGTTTCCAGTTATTTCAGAGACTGTAACTGGTCTTATTTAACTGGCCTTTTTCCTTTAAAAGGTAAAGTTGTGTTTGCCCCCTTTCCCCTAGAACAGGCTGGTCCAACATACGGCCCGTGGGCCGCCATGCAGCCCTCCAAGCTGTTTTCTGAGGCCCAAGGTGCTGTGATGGGAAACGAAAGTAAACACTGTATTTTTGTTTTGAGGGGGTGATGTGTTACCGCTTCCTGTGCAGTCTTTGAATATGGCTCACCGGCCCACTGAGTGATAAAAAGTTCATGATCCAGCCCCGCATTCAAAAAGGTTGGACATCCCTGCCCTAGAATGACTCCTATTACACTTGAATGGTGCTGGTGAGTGAAGAAGTGCTCCTTTTTTTTTAATGCCTTGTTACCATGTATTTTCCCAGGCTCCTGGGTGGGACATGATTCAGAATGGAAAGATTGTGGGGCCTCCTGAATCTGAACCTTCCCTTTGTTACTGCCGTCCAGCGCTGGCAGAAGGGCTGACCCCGCCCCTTCTTACTACTATCTAGTGCCTACCAGAAGCGTTACTCACAGGCTGCTGACAGCGTTCATGGCATGCGACCTGTGGTCCTGACAATCCTGCCTCCTACCACACTACATGGTCATGGCAGGGCTTGTGATATTTGGGATTGGGAATCAAACCCCAATCTCATCCTACTTGCCAGTATGGGGGGAGTCTGGGATCATGATCCCAGATTTTTTCTGCACTGGCAAATGTCCCTGACAATCAGCTGCTTGTTGGCTAGCTCCAGAGACCAGGGGACCAGTTTGAGTCCCCAGAGCTGGCTGCCGATCAGCTAATTGTGGACAGCAAGGGGACCACACTGGGGCTCCAATAGGCCGTAGTGCAGCCCCTGCCAGCAGCCAGTCAGCTGATTAGGGGCAGCATGGGGACCATGCCAGGGCTCAGATGGACCTCAGGGCTGAGCATGCCAGGCCCTCAGTCAGTTGACTGGCAGACAACAGGGACCACACTGAGGCCCTTTTGAATCCTGCAATGGTTTATTGGGTGCCATGTTCATTTTAAGGCACAAGTGAAACAAGACACAAAATTATTACTCGTGTATTATTATTATTATTATTATTATAGTCTAATAATTTTGTGGCTGGTTTTGCATTTTGTCAAGCCATTCCCTGCTTGAACATGTGGCCAGGTTGCACTTTAAGATGCAATGAACTGGATCATATCTACCAGGGATGTTACACAAAATATAAGCGAAAGTAGTCAAAAAGACATATTCTCAAATCACGGACCAAAAAGTGCTTGCTGAAACATTTTCCAATGGAACAATTTTTTGTCTCAAAGAAAATTTGCAATTTTTATGTAAAAATGTTTAGGAATAGGGGAAAGGGATTAGGGAAAAGAAAAGGAAGGAAAGAGAAGGAAGGGAAGAAAAAGTAATTTCTTGAAAACATCATTTCTTTACTGCCCTTAATGCAGGGCTAGAGAATAAGCCGGGTGATCGCCCCTGCAACCTTGCTGCTGGAAATGGACCCGTGAGAATTCAAGTGTGCAGGATGTACGGGGCCAGACAGAGAGCAGGGGAGTCTGCCTTGGCAGTCTAGCCCTGAGGGCACTATCCCAAAAGCAGCCCGGCTCCCTGCTTTTCTGCTGCTAGGATTGTTCCTCCAGCCTAGAGCAGACAGCCACTCCAACGTAGGTAGGAGCTGGTACTGCACCTGGCACAGTTCGGCTTACCCTACAGGGCTCGTATGCATGTTCCATGAGCTTTTTCATTTCATCTCCCTTTATTTTCACCAGGCTCAACCAACTGAATGGAAGTGGAGCGGTGCAATGCAACTTCACCAACAGAATTTGTCCTGCTGGGACTCCTGAACCACACCAAAGTCCACACCTTCCTCATGGCCATGATTTTACTAGCCTTCATTACTGCTGTGCTCGGGAATGCTCTCCTCATGTTTCTAATCCAGGTGGATTCCTCCCTTCACACCCCCATGTACTTTTTCCTCAGCCACCTGGCCTTCATGGACATCTGTGAGACTCTCACCATTGTCCCCAAAATGTCAGCAGACTTTGTAACCCCAGGCAACACAATTTCCTGGGCTGGCTGTGGGGCTCAGAATTTCTTCACGCTGGCAACAGGTGGAGCAGAGTGCCTCCTTCTGGTCGTCATGTCTTATGACAGGTATGTAGCAATCTGCAACCCCTTGCAATACCCCGTCCTCCTGAGCAGGAGAGTCTGCCTGGGCTTGGCCGCTGCGGTCTGGATTGGGGCATCTGTAGATGCCTTGATGCATACAGTTTATATAATGCATCTGCCCTTCTGTGGCTCAAAAAACATTAACCATTTCTTATGTGAGCACCCAGCCCTGATGAAACTGGCCTGCTCTGACACGTCCACCTATGAGAGTCTGGTATTTGTGACTGGCATTGTCCTGCTCCTCATCCCTTGTTCCATCGTATTAGCCTCCTACACTCGCATCCTCTCTACGGTCCTGAGGATGAAGTCAACCAAAGGACAGCAGAAAGCTCTGGCCACCTGCTCCTCACACCTGACTGTGGTTTGCATGTTTTATGGGGCAGCTCTCTTCATGTACATGAGACCCAATGCCTACCACACACCAGAGCAAGACAAAATTGTGTGTCTGTTTTACACCGTTGTCACCCCAATACTGAATCCTCTCATCTATAGCCTGAGAAATAGGGATGTCTTAGGAGCCCTAAAAAAGCTGGTTGGAAAATGTAGAGTCCTCCATGAAAACTGAGAGAAGCTGTAGTTCCCTGTTAGGTGCTAGGGTCAATAAAAAGGTTCAGGTCTGTTGGCAGGGTTTTCTGGAATATTTTGAAGGAGGCTTTATTTTCTAAAGTGCTGCTTTAGCAATTTATATCCCACATAAAACCAAGGGTATATATCCTCTTTGAGTGTTTCATCACTTTGGAAAGGTGTCAGGATGTCACTACTAACCTTATTTTGGAAGACTGTTGCATGCACCAAAGACCTTAGGAAGGACCAAAAATCCATGTAGCTGTCACCCTGGTCCTCTGCAGAAAACTCACCTAAAACTCACAAGCCATGGTTGCTCAAGTCTTTAGATAGGGTACATTTCCAATAGCCACTTTGTGAAGCAGGGCCTTATTGTCTCTCATGTATTGGTTGTAAAGCAATTTAAGTCAACTGAATTCATTGGTTAAAATCTTGGTTTTTATAAGAGAAAAATAAACAGGGATCCGACCTGAGCTTTATCTTCTCTCTTCAATAACCTTCATCATGGGAGATGGGACGTGGCCATTTAAAAAGTAGGTATCTAAACTTTATAAAGTAAATGAATTAGTCTTTACTCATGGCCTCCTGGGAAAGGGCCACTGAGAGGAACAGGAACATTCCTTGTTTTCTCTCCATGATGAGACTTTGTACAGGAGAAAGTAGGAAAGGTGTGGTGATCACTGGGCATGTCTACATGAGATGCTGACTGTGCAGTACCCTAATAACACTGAGCAGTAGCACATCACAACATGAACAGTGCTAATAAGCTGCTGTGTAGTATTATTAGGCTACTGCACAATGGCATCACTTAAAAGATATTTGCCAGTGCTACTGCACAGTAACTTCAGTTACTGAGCATTTATTTAGTACTTGCTTATACGAGTTATAAATAAATGTGCAGTAACCATTACTCAGTAGTGTCTCATGTAGATGTGCCCACTGTTGCCTTTCTTTGAAACTGAACATGG